ATTGATACCAAATCAACTCAAAACATTTACAGAAGGTAGCAGGTAACATTGTTATTCCAAAAAAATATAAATCAAGTCACATGTTTTTAAAAAAGCAAATATAAAACCTGTATCTTTCCTGTATGTCTGCAAGATATTAGAGTCTTTCTGTTATACCTTCATTCTGTTTTAAATATTTAAGGCCATAAAAATTGTGGCAATATATCTAATTTGGTTAATTATAGAGTAAAAGCAATATTCCCCAATGAATAGTATCCTTTTGATTTTTTCCATCTTAGACTGAATGGAGAGAACAAATAATGTTGTCTAACTCAAACTTATATTAAGAAGAAATAAGGTCCCTCTGGTCCTGAATGTATTTCCTTAACATTGTATATTTCATGTAATATTATGAAAAACTTTCTAGTGAATTGTGCTATAATATTAAGGTTATGAAAATGGAATACTTTTTAAGCTGGAATTCTAACAGACAAAGTCACCAATTACAGATATTTTTAGAGATGATTCCAATAAATAGTTGTTCTATTTCTAATGGATCATTAAACACAAAACAATGCTTCTTATCTATTTGTTCATCTTATTAGTTTATCATAGCTGAGAAATATCCAGTATCCAAAATAAGTAAGATATACCTTCATCATTTGAGGAACTTCAACTATCAGTGTATAGCATCTTAGATGATTTTCCTTCATTTTGTAATTCTAAAAAGGCCTCCTGAATTAGACATTTCTTGTCAGTTAAGGAGTAGCTGTTAATTCATCCATACACCTTGGTACTTGGTAGGGGCCAGGAATATATATCAACTTAACTTCTCATTTTCATAGCATAGGTTTCTAGCCCTGTAATAATCACTGGTAAAAGTAAAATAAACTTCTAACTTATTTAAATGACTGAAAAATTAGAACAGTATTTGCTAAAGATCCTAAAGTTAATAATCATGAAATTTGACTAAGAATTACATAACTAATGATATCCTAAGAATGCCTCGTATGTATTTTTGATTACTGATTTTAATATTGTATGAATATCCCCCCTTTTTTGCCCCATCTAGGTGATTTAACTGCACTTTTATTGTTTGTAGTGGTAGAGCCCCACTATGTATTAGAATTTTCTGTAAAGCTAGGAATGTTCTATACCTGTTACACGATTTAATAGCCATCAGCAAGCTACACGTGGCCAACAAATGCTTGAAATCAAGATTCATTAAGAGTTTACTTGAATTGTCCATCGGAAGGCCATCCTCAACATTTCACCAGGAAATTCTGTGGAGTTGATAGAGTGTCATACTTACCATGGTGAGCTGAGGAGCAAATTGAGAGATGCAAATGTAACAGGGAGGTGAGAAGATGGATCTCCTGGGCAGATGATTACGCAAAAGGTGGATGTGCCAGGATTGTGCTTCTAAAACTAGTGATCCGGCTGTTGTATGAGAAAAGGGCAAAGGGTACAGAGAAGAAATGGGCTAAGATGAGGTTCTCCGACATTTCATAAAGACAATAAATTAAGAATGATTGGCAGCTCCCTGGGAAAAGGGTGTTAGGTTTTGCCCTGGATGGCACAACTGTTAACAAGGACCAAGAACTGCTTAGAAAGTTACAAAGCTGAAAGCATCCTTTCCCTGAAACCATGATAAAATAGAAATGCAATCTCCTATTATTTCATTTTTGAGAAATTCTATAAATTCAATCACTATTTGTTAAAAATTGCATTCTTGGACTTGCTGAAATTTCCAAAACACTGAAATGGAATTTCAAATATATCTCTTGTAATTACATATATAATTATACTAATCTAACATCAGGCATAACTTAACCCATGTTTTTTTTTTACTGCTAAATTCACATTCATTAACATGCTTCATCTGAGGAGTTGGGACCATGACGCTAGAAAGAATATATGACATACCCAAGATGATCCTACCATGATCCAAATTCAGATCCTTAGACTCCATGCCCCCTGCTGTTTGGACAAAAGACGATTGAATGACATATCAGGATATTTTTGGTATTCCTATATATAATACAAAGAGAATATAGAAAGTTTCCCTCAACAAGCATCCTTGGCAATGATAAATGTTTTTTTCTGCATATTACTCAACTAGTACTATTTCCCCTTGAGCACATTATCACAATTTACTCTGTGTTTCCATTAATTTTCATTCATTTTTCAATGTTTAGCAATTATTACGTGTTAGTAAATTTGACCCAAAAAGAAAGTTGCTATATGCTTAACATACACTCTCTTAAAAATGAGCAATTTTTCTCCTATAATTCAAAAAGTCTCCTTGAAAGTGGATATGACAAATCCTTTTTTAAGATTTATTTATTTTTATTGGAGAGTCAGATTACAGAAACTCAGAGAGAAAGATCTTCCATCTACTGGTTCACATCCCAAGTGACCACAACAGCCACAGCTGAGCTGATCTGATGCCAGGAGCCAGGAACCAGGAACCATCTCTGCATCTCCCACTGGGTGCAGGGTCCCAAGGTTTTGGGCTATCCTCCGTTTTCCCAGGCCACAAGCAGGGGCCAGGCTGGGGAGTAGAGCAGCCAGAGCACAAACCAGCACCCACATGGGATCCCAGGCTTGCAAGGTGAGAATTTAGTTACTAGGCTATCTTGGACAGGGTAGTAAACTCGTAGTAAACCTATGGTTTGCAGGAATAACAGAGGTCTTTAAAGATTTAATTGCTTCTGTCATTTTAGTGTTCAAACACTCAAAACACCTTTCCCCATTGCCCATAGTTCATAGCTCCTGTGTCAACAAACCCAGGAACACTGTGGGTTTGTACAGTATAAACAGACCCTATATTGTGCATGAGCTGAAGCTATGGGCTCATAACGGAGCAGAATGGAGAACCTGCGGTAATGTTCTAAGCAACAGGTGGCCAAGTATTTTTTAAAGCCTGGACAACTCCTTTGGAAAACCCATGGAAGAATAGAAAGTCAGAATGGTATCACATACCCTGCTCGTGCCACACTAGTCCACTTCTGGAAACAGTAACAGTCACAGAACTAAGTCATTTGTATTCTTAGCCATGTTCTACTGTGTGCACAAAGTGATTTCTTGAGTGCAGTGTTTCTTCTGGCATATTGTCAGGACCCTTATTTGTTTTTCATTAGGGCTTTACATTCTCAGGCTGCTATCTATCTAGATTGTTCTGCCTTCTTCAAGATGGCCAGCTTGAGTTGTTTCAGCCCAGGACTGATACTGTGTGGGCGGGATGTTTTTCTTCTTCAATGCAATTGGCCATTCTAAATCCCCAGCCATGAAACTATTCTAGTGGTGTTAATCCTTCTAAGAACAGTCCATGATCCAATTGCAAGGTAATCTGATAGCCTGTCATTTGCATCCATCACTTCTGTCTCTATCCAGGAAAAGCCATTAGTAAGCATACTCCTCCTTCTTCATCAACTCAAGAAAAGGCATTCAGATGTGTATGGCTATACCCAAGCCTGTCAACACTGTCTATTCTGCCTTTATCCCTGCTACAAATTGGATCCCCAGGTTGAACCTCCTCATAATTTTAAATCCACCCACTTCTTTCTGCTTTCCAAGACCACTTCCTCACTCTAAGCCTTCATCATCTCTGGAACAATTACAGTGATTTCTGCATAGTCTCTGGGACCTAGGATTTCCCTTCCCAGTTTATTTTTCTCGGCAACAAACAAACAGGCATTTTATCATCTCTATTTATGAGTGGTAGCGTGTTGCATATTAGCACAGAGTTTGATCCGTGAAAGCAGCTATCTGAATTAGTTAATTTCTATAGAATTATGAATTTCAAGAGAAATCCTAGAATTCTGAAAGACTGAACTTTTAATTTCAGTACAAAGCTAGCAATCTGTAAGTTCCCATGTGTGAATTACAGGAACAAAATAATCATTGAAATCATAATCTCATAACCGTCCTGGTTCTTGGAGATAAGGTGGTTGAAGTTTACCATTTTATATGAAAGATCTTTACTGATCTTTACCAGTTTGGAATCCCATGATGAGACTTTGTTTTAACCCTGCCCACAGCTTCCCAGCATGGTCAGGTTGAAATCTAAATCCCTCATCCTGACACACAGCACCTGGGGGGAGGGGTGCTGGGCTCCATGTCCCTTCCCATCCCCACCTTTGGCTTCTCCTTCCCTTCATACAGAAACTCATGCTTCCAAGAACATCATGTTCTTCCCTTCACCCAAGTCACTGCACAGGCACTCCTCTCTTTGTCCTTCATCTTTCAGGTGCTAAGTCCTAACCATCCTTCAGATATCTGACTAGGCACCAGCACTTCATATCCCAAGCCCTCTCTCTGGAATCCCAAGGAAGTGCCACTGTCATAGCACATCCACAGCCCTCAATCAGTCATCCATCACAGGAATGAGAGAAATAAAGACAGCTATAAAGAGGGACTCATACTTTATTCATTGTTTCTTTCTCCCATCTTCATCTGGTGACAGGCATTCAATGTTTCCAAATTAATCACTGATCATCACTTTTAACCTGCCTACTCTACACTAATTTTTCTGTCAGTTCTCCTCACAGTATCTGTTTTCAAGGAGAATAAAAATGAATAAATAACATTCCATGGAGTCGTGGAAGGGTTGGGGGAATCCCAGGGCCTATGAAACTGTATCACATAATGCAATGTAATTAATTTTTTAAATACCCTATTTAAAAATAAAAAATAAATAACAATTGAAGTCATTGATAATCCCCAATGGCAACCCAAGGGTTGCCATTTACAGTTTGCCAAGAAGAGTTTTCAGTAACAAGAATGAATCTCCAGTGTAACAAATTCAACCATAAGTAATCAGGCATGTGACATATTTATAAAGGAAGGGAAGCTTGTCTGTAACAATGACCCAATCTATCCTCATCCTTACAGAAGAATGACATCTATATAAAAAAAAAGATTATTTCTTGGTTATTTTTCCTTCTATTGAATGAATCCTTGTCTACTCATAGAATAGGTGCCTTATATAAATGGTAACATTTCTGCTTTTGTTTCAGGGAAGCAATGTTATGGAAGATCAGGATTTGTTGGAAATCGGAATCCTTAATTCTGGGCACAGACAGAGAATTCTACAGGCCATCCAGCTCCTTCCCAAGGTAGGTAATGCTTTATTACCCCAGGGCTGTACATGGGTTCCAGTGGTTGGAAAGACCAAATGCAAAGGTTGTTAGTATTTGAGTGTAATGTTTTGAAATACAGATGTTGCTCAAAACAACAGATGTTCTTAGGTCCAACTACTCATTCTGGTTCATGTGATGACTATAAGCTACACTTGGCTTAGATTTTCTTAGAAGGTTGTAATACAACAAACTTTGCTGGCCAGCAATGCAGCTTCAAAATTCTCTTGCATGAGAATGTTAGTAGCAATACAAATATCAATTTTTAATGTTTTTAAATAAATTTATTTTATTTTATTTTTTTTTAAAGATTTATTTCTATTATTTTTTCATTGGAAAGGCGGATATACAGAGAGGAGAGACAGAGAGGAAGATCTTCCGTCCGATGATTCACTCCCCAAGTGAGCGCAACGGGCCGATACTATGCCGATCCGAAGCCAGGAGCCTCTTCCGGGTCTCCCACGTGGGTGCAGGTTCCCAAAGCTTTGGGCCGTCCTCGACTGCTTTCCCAGGCCACAAGCAGGGAGCTGGAAGGGAAGCGGGGCTGCCGGGATTAGAACCGGCGCCCATATGGGATCCCGGGGGTGCAAGGCGAGGACCTTTAACCACTTGCGCCACCGCGCCGGGCCCGTAAATTTATTTTATTTTTGATGCTGTTTACATAGTTGAGAACAATTTATACCCATGTGGACCAGTGATTAGAGTAGGGAAGGTCAAGGAATGGGGGGAAATGGATGAGACAGTTGCTTCCAATTTTTTTTCCTTGTTGTATTAGGGGTAGAGGAGAGAGTTGGGGAAAGGGCTGATCCCAAGAGCCCAACCGCATCAGTAGTCAAGGATGTCTTCCTAGGGTCTCCAATATGGAGCATGTCCCAAGGGTCATGCTTTAGTGGTTTTAATTGTTCTGAGACGTTGTTGATTTCATTGCTCCATTGTTGAGGAAATCCTTGAAAAGTCCATTAGCTGACATATTCCACCCTAGAGTCTCCACTCACACAGGTGCTTTCTGTCAAAGCTTGATCAGGAGAGCTGTCTAGTTTGTTATGCCTTCCGTGGTACTCAATGTCCTCTGCAGACCTCAATGAGCTGTCATGGCTCCCATGTACATATGGGCATGCTGTCCACTTGAATAGGCTTCAACAACCAAGGAGGCCCAGCTCTCACACATGCACTCCATGGTCACATCACAGATCATGTGGTTTTTCACTATCCAGAGTTTTGAGTCCAGTGGTCCAGTTGCAGGGGTTCCCCAAGAAACCTTACCAGCAGTGACCCCAGACCTGACTGCTGTATGTCACCCAGTTCTGGTTCCAGCTCAATCCGTCATCCACATTAGCCCACATACACTGGTGGTTGCAGTCATCCAGTCAGTTCTGTCCCCAATGCCATCTCATACACAAACCAATGAATGTCATGACTCAGCCTAATTCTTCCTACCCACCATATTTTCAGCCCTCATGCACACCAGCAGGAACTGAAGCCTAGTCAGAGCTACTCACAATAACCCAAACCTGGCCCACCCTCAGCCTCGGCTCCTGCACATTGCCAGTATGTGCAGCAGACCAGTCCAGTTCATCCTCCAAACCTGAGCCACATATATTGCTAGTAAGTACTGTAAACTGGCTTGGTCTGGCCTACTCCCAGTCTCAGTTCTTGCACTCACCAGCAGGGTCTGTGTCCTGACAGAGGAGTTCCCCAGTTTCCTCAAAAAGATACCTCCCAGTCATAGATCTCATGCACACTGGTGGGTTCTTGGCCCAGCATAGCTTGGCCTAACTCCTGTCTAGCAGGTGCAGCAACCTTGCCTGATCAGCCCACACCTCTTCCAGCTCTTACTGCTGGGTGCTACAAGCCAGCCCTGCCTGGCCCACCCCAGACCCAGATCTTATATGATTCAGCAAGTACCCGAACCTAGCCCAGCCTGTCCTAGTACCACTCTCACTCTCATCAGTATTGGTGGGTACTGGAGTCTAGCCCAGTTTGGCATACCAAGACCCAGTCTACACCTATGCCATGGAATATTGTAGGCATGTCCAGCCCAGGTTACCCCCTGTTTCAGCTCTTGCACTCACCAGTGGGAACCACAGCCCAGCTGTGGCATCCCTTAGCTCTCAGACCAGGCCCACTCCCTGCCACAGATCTTGCACGTACTGTTGGTTGCTGCAACCCAGCCAAGCATAAACCATACCCCCGGTTGGCCTTTGCCATTGGATGCTGCAGCCTGGCATGGCCTGGCCTACCCTCAATCCCAACTCTCACTGGTGGGTGCTGTAGCCTAGCCCTGCTTAGCTTGTCCCCATCCCTGGCTTTCATACAAACCGGTAGGTATTGATAGCCTAGCCTACCATAGCATAGCGTGCACCCCATTCTGGTTCTTGTGCATGCCAGTGTACTATGGTTTGGCCTCGCCATGCCCAGTTTACCCCTCAAGAGCCAAACCACACTCTCCCCACACATGAAGCAGCCCTGCCCTGACTGACCAACATCCATCCCTGATTCATGTGCTCAGTGGTACAGTCTACCAGGGGAGCTCCCCAAATTTTCCCCACCAGGCCTAGTTCCAGACCCAGATCTCACTTATGCCAGCAGATGCTAGACCCTTATGTAGTGTAGTCCAGTCCCTTAGTCTTTGCCATTGTGAGTACTGGTGAATGTTGTATCCCAGGCTGTCTCTCACCCAATTCTCAGGTGCTCTTGTGGGTGCTACAGCCTGGACCAGATCAGACTGTTCCCAACCCCAACACCCATGAGTGTTGAGTTCCATAATCATGCCTAGCTTGGCCCATCACCACCCTGTCTCCAATTCTTGAGCAAACCAGCAGATATTGCAGTCCCACAGGGGTGAGCCTACATATCCTCCACAAAATCTGCCCCCCATACCTGGTTCTCTCACAGGCTGGTTAGTGTCATGGAGCAGCCTAATGTGATTCATCCCCTGTTCCAACACTCATGACAGGTACTTTGGCTACGCCCTGCCACATAGCCTCAACCCTAGATTTCATGTTTACTGGTGGGTGGTAGTCAGCAATGGTCAATTCTCTCTAACCCACCTTATGTCTCCCACATGAGCATGTACATTGCTCTGGCCCACAAAGGTCCTCCGGCTTCCCTCCTTGGAACTGCTTGGTCTCAGCCCCCTTGCTTAACTGCAAGTACAGTGGCCTTGTTAGTGAAAGTCTTCCAGAAGTCATTCCTGACCTGCAAAGTATTCCCTAAGCAGTGCCCCCTCCCTCACATTTCATACCCCCTTCCCTGATCAATCCACAGCCTGTGGGCCCGGGAATGCATGGCCTTTCCAGCACACTTTTTTGGCTGAGTGGTGTGCTGGCCTGGAGCCTAACCATTTACCCTGAACCCAAATGTATGCATGCTTCCCTAGGCTCAGTCCTCCGGCACATGTGCTGGCCTGGGACACTGCCCCCTACCTACCCAAGAATCAAGCCCGTTCATGAGTCTCTAAGTCTTGTCCATCAACACACATGCCAGCATGTCAGCCTGGGGGCCTTTTTTCCCTATCACCGCCTACCCCCATTGCAAGCCTGTGCTAAAACAAGCAAGGTGCTCATGCCACAAATATCAAAAAGAAAAAAAAATTAGATCCATATTACTAGGTACAGGAATGTACCTGGCTTAAAAACTTTACTGGGACCAGTGTGGTAGCACAGTAGGCTAGTCCTCTGCCTGTCAGAATTATGTATGGTTCATGTATCAGCTATTCCATTCCCAATCCTGCTGCCTGCTTAAGGCCTCGGAGTTCAGAGGCTGCCTCAAGTGCTTGGGCCCCTACACCCACATGGGAGACCCAGAGGAAGCGCCTGGCTCTTGACTTTGGACCAGCCCTGCTCTGGCTGTTACAGCCATTTAAGGAATGAGTCAGCAGGTGGAAGATTAATCTCTCTATCTCTCTGTCTGTCTCCCTCCCTCTCTCCCTCTTCATCTCTCTCTCCCACCCCCGCCACCGCCTTCTGTCTATAAAGCTGCTTTTCAAATAAGCATGTTTTTAAAAAAGAAAGAAAGCTTTATGCTCCATAAGCAGCGATATCTCTTGAAGCAATTGCATAACTTAACATACAGTATCTCTACAAGAAACATGCTTAGTGACAGGCATCATCACCTGATGGGACCCCAAAGGATCACATCCCTAGCATGTGTCTGAGGTCCGTGAATAAATCCTAGCAGTCCAGATGCGATTTACCACTGAGACATAGTTTCCTGTAAGCATCGTGTTACCTAGCAACAGAGCTGCCCTCCTGTCTCCAGATGAGGTTTCAGTGGAGCCTCAAGGACAAGGTAGGAGCCGAGTACTAGCCTTTCATGATATCAGGATTTTAATTGGTAAGAAAGGGAAGGGCATTTCAGGAGGCCAGCAGGAGCCATATAAATACAGGTGTGACTCAGGCAAGTCATCGCCAGAAGTGTTAGAGGAATAATTAGTGACTTCAAATCCAACGGAATTGACACACAGTGTGAATGTACTTAATGTCACCAAACTGCACATTTACTGAGTAAGATGGTGAATTTTATGTTCCAGGTGTTCAACCACAATTTTTTAAAGTAAAGAGAAAAAGCAAACAGTTTTAGAGTCAGAGATAAAGCAGAAAAAGATAAGCTGGCTCAATTTCTGTCAGGCTAAGGAGTTTGGAATTTATTCCATAGGCGGTAGGGAATGGGCATAATTAAATGCTATATTGTCAATTCTGGAGGTAGCAGAGAAGGAATTAGGAGAGATCATTGAGGTTGAGCATCTGGTTTGGAAATGATTATAGACAAGATTGAAAACAGGGTAGCAGGTGAACTGTGATGGATGAGCCTGGATATGTGAGTTTATCCTACATTTTCTCTTTCCGTTCCCAGGAAGGCTATAATTTCTCCTTAGATGAGAATCATAAATATTAACCACTGTTTTTAAGGAAGTAATCTGATGGAGCTTGCCGACTGACAGTGAGCTGAGTTTATACTGATAGAAATTTAATACTTTG